TTGTTTTTTTTTTTTTTTCTTTTGGGCACCAAAGAATGTTCTACAGAAAGGACCTTAGAGACTATGCAATCCAACCTACTCATTTCCCAGACAAGAAAAATGAAGCCCAGAGAACAGATGGGCTTCCTCTTCTAGTCATATGGGGGCTTAAAAAATATATGTATATATATTTTTCATGAGCTGTAGTGAAAATGACCAGTGTTATCTCATTTCCTGGCTTCTCAAATCCAGGATCCAGCCAAATCTAACAATTATTTATAGTCTGAATATACCTTATACTTTCCTATTTCCTACCATCATCCCTATCACATGGGATGCCATTCCTCACTCTTCTAACTTCCTAACCTCCATCTTTTGCAAAGTTGTCACACTCCCGTGATTAGCCAATAGATCCTATCTCTCGGACAAACATTTCCTAGCTGAAATAACATTTCATAAATGTCGTACTCTCTGCAACTTTGGAGCTGGAAGATCATCTCAATTTTCTGTCGATGCCAACAACTAATATAATAATGGCAATAGCAGTTATGTATTACCATTTATGGACTGCAAAGCTTACTTATATCTTTATCTCATTTAGCTTCTAAATTAACCACATGGTACTATCTTAAACTGATTAATATTTGAGGACCGAAACTTTCTATTTAGTGGACACAGAATCCCTGAATTTGCAAACTTTCCCCAGGTTAAAGTTTGGTCAAAAATAGAAAGCACTGCTGCCTAAAGTTTAATTTCATTAAGTGAGTGCACTGGAAACTTTTTCTAGGAGAAGTTCAGTGGCTGTGTGAATCCTCTTAGCTGAATCTGGATGTCTGTTACACCTGGTCAGGCTTGAATTGGTCAGTTAAGGAGTCCTTTGTACATCACACTGAAGGAAGATTTACCTCCCCCCAGTCTACTGGAGATTTCATCTGAGCCTCTGGACTTGTCATGTATACCTTTTTCTAGAGATAGATTTTATAATGTTCACTGTAGTCCTCAAGGGTTCCTAAGAGAAATGATGGTGGCAGAAAAGTTCTATAACTACGAAAGCATAAGGAGATTTTTCTGAAAAGATAAAAAAAAATTCTGTGGTGGGGTGGCATAGTTTCCTCTGGATTTAAATAAAACAATTGTTTTGGGAGTTCAGTGATAGTCTGTTATAGTTTGGATTATAAATGTCCCCCAGAGGCCCATGCACTTACAGGCTTGATCCCCATCCCTTGGTCTGATTGGAAGGTGGTGGAATCTTTGATGGAAGAAGTTGCATCCATAGGGGTGTATCCTTTGAGACGATATAGAGATCACGGTCTCTTTTCTTTCTTTTTGCTTCGTGGCCACCATGAAGTATACAGCTTTGTCCCATCACATCCTTCCTGCCATGATGTTCTGCCTCATCAAAGGCCCCCAAATAACAGAGCCAATCAACAATAGACAGAAATATCTGAAACTGTGCATGGAAATGAAACATTGCTTTTTGAACTTGTTCATGTCAGGTAATTTGTTACAGTAAAGGAAAACTGACTGGTGCTGTGCACTATACATTGATAATGTTTTTGTCCTCAGAGTATTAAAGCAGTCGGGAACCCAAGAGTTTGACTTCCACCTTTGGTCTTTCAGGACAATCTGAGACTCAGACAAACAGAGATCTGAGATGAATGAGTTCCAGTTGTGATTCTGCTTATAGTCTCTTCACATTAGTTCAAATAGCATCATGGTAAAATGATGACTGTTACCAAGAAGGCTCCATGTAAGAATCTAATAACTGCATATAGCCCATGGAAGAAATCCTTTGTCATCTGGTGTTCCTCAGACGTGGCTGGGTCTAGAGTGTGGGGCACTAGGCTTATGGGCAGTAGGATTAATGGTGTGAGAGCCACCTTTCCTAAGGAGCCCAGATAAGATACAAGGTGGTCGTCCCTTGTTGCTTTTCTGCCTTCTGCCCACCATGAACTGGTTCTCCTCTGCCATGCCTGTTGGCCATGCTACCCTGCCTTGGAGCCAGCCAATTATGGACTGAAACCTCTAAAAACGGTGAGCTAAGCAAACCTTTAACCCTTTAACTTTGGATATCAGGTAGTTTTGCCTCAGCAACAAGAGAAAAGTAAGTAAGACATCTGGCTCCAAGTAATTTTATGCAAGAAGTGAGGCTCTTTTAATATTTCATCTGGTCCCCATCTTTGCAATATTATCTTTTATTAAGAAAACAGAATTATTTATTTTCCACTAACAATGGAGAAGGAAGAGTTAGGGTGACCTGTAGTCAATGTTGTAATATGCTGTCAAATATCTTTAATTTTCACTTCCATCTTTTTTGTAAAACCCCAAGTACAGCCCCACCAGCTTACCAGGATGTAGAAAGAGGAATAAGCATGGACATTTTACCTTCCTGGGTTGTATCCATCACAGTTTCACAACACATTTGTTCAGGACCAAGAAACTGTAATTGTCATCCTATAGATGAGGAGGCCAGTGTTGTTGAGCAAATAATCTTTCCAGGCAGAATAGCAGGAACTTTCCTCTAATTCTATTTCTTTCAAGACCTTAACTTCAGCATGATAAATATAGAAATGCAAGTCCTTGGGAGATTCCAAATGCAAGAAGCACCTTTTCACTTTAATTACCCAGATGAATTTATGCATGTACGCTACCAGGCAACTGTAGAGAGCACGCATATATTCATGTTATAATCTTTTCTGCCCAGTGAGTCTGAAAGCAAGTTGAAGTATTGCTCCTGACTGAAAAAAAATTAAGGTATTGACAGCAGATCATGTGTCCTTTATCACATAATAAGTAAAAAGTTATGTCAACGAGAACTATCCCTGTATGGTGAGCATGGAAATGTTCTTCCTAGTGATGTGTTAATTTTAACAAATGTTACCATAATGAAGCAGCATATTTAACTCATGGAGGTTTTTTTATAGCAGTTCTCAGTATGTGCAAAGTAAAATCTGATGATGTCTCTAAATAGAGTCTATACCCTCCCCCCTTTTTAAATAAAGAACTTCAAGGGCAGAGTGCGAATGCTTAATGACAAAAATGTAAAGAGTAGGATCCCTATTATTTTTAGCCAAGGATAAGCTCAATTTCCCAGTTTCTTACCCTTTACAAAGTCCAGTTTTTAAGAAATCGGAGATAATTTAAAATAATAGTCTTCCTAAAAAAATTCTAGTTTTTAAGAAATCAGAGTTGCTTTAGGATTTTAAATAATGCTGAATATCAATCATTGGCAATTACTTATTTCTTTTTTGATCATTTTACTTTGGTGAACAACTTCCCCCAGTACTCTTCATCACTATCATCATTCTTCATGAAAGCTAAGTCAAGAAATCGATGGCAGGCCGCACGGGTTCCGTTGCTGGGGTACTTACCGTCCTGAAAGAACCCCAAGGCAAGTCTTGCATGGAGAGATTAGAGCGGGAGGAAAATTGACAATCATCAGTCTAATCTTCTGTTCTGGGTGTGGCTGCTACTTTCAACACACCCGAGAGGTGACCAGGCAGGAAGTCTAGCCTGTGACCAGTGATGGGCGACTCGCTCCTGCACACAGCTGGCCACTCCTCCGTTCAACCAATTCTCTCCATGTGCCACTTCTTGCTTGTTTTGAATAAAAATCTGTTTACTCTTAACTTTTGCCCAGACCTGGATCCCGAGCTGGCGCAAAGTCTCCTCTTTCTCCACATAGGAACTTTGAAGCCTTGTTCCCTGCTTTAGAGTTTTATTCCTGTGATTTTATTCCACAGTTCCTTTGATTTGTCTTCTGGTACCTTAAGAAAGCTAACCGCCTCTCGACCTATCGCAACTTACTAGTCTCTCTCTAAAAGTACACAACGAAGAATTTATGCAGCCTTAATAGCTTTCAGAAATTGTGCTCCCTGAGAGATGTCCCTTGCTTTGTAAACAGGCCCCTATTGCTTACTCCCCTCTCTTTGGTGACATTGGTCTTTGATCCGAGAACCTACCTTTGCCAGTGTCTCATCATCCAGGTGATTCTTCTGAATCACGTGTTGAAGTGCAAAATAAATTTTTTCCTGAAGCTTCTGGACCTTCCTCGGTTCTATCAGCCAGGCTCGGTCTGACAAAGAAAAAAAAAATAGTGGATAAGAAGGGGAGGGAACACAGCTTTGTTTTATCTCACCTACTTATTTAAGTGCTGAGTTTCAGATCCACTTCAAATTACTTAGTTCTATATTGTTTCTGAAGACTTGTAATTATTTACATGAAACATAAATATTTTATAAGCAATAATAACATGATGCCAGTAATGCAAAATATAATGTAAAATATAATCTCTTTGGAGGAAAGGACACACTAGTTCAGTAAATTCCTTCATGTTTCTTACTGTGTGTGATAGTTTACATTTCTCTGGACAGATACTTAGATTTTCTTTCAAAGTAGACATGAGCAATTTTTGTAGAAAATGGATTATAGAAGCTAAGAAATCATATTATACAGAATTTATTGGTATTCAGGATCCCTTTTGCTCAGTTTATTCTTTTATCATATAAAGGTGAAGACATAATTTACATAGCATAAACATGAGTTGACTTCAAAAACTTACTCCTGAATTCTACTTTACTATGCTGAATTTTTAACTGGTGATGAGATAATCTCTCCTCTCTCCCTCTTTCCCTCTCTCTCCTACACATCTTTCCTTCATTCCTCTTTCCCTTAATCCTCCCTTTTTCCTCTGAGCCTAGAAGCTTCATACACCGTGGCGACAAAATGCAGACCAGCACCAAGATCTTAGTTTGGTCTTTCAATGAAGAGATGCCTGGAGTCTCCAAAGGCTGAACAAATACTTGTGGAAAAGAACTTGGACATGATCTTCCTGAATACAGTTCAGTTCAGGTGCGAAACCTGATTCTGTAATCCTAGACAGGGCAAGGACAAGTCTAGCCAGGAGTTAAGCAAACCCTTACGTAAGTAAGCACAAAGGCCTTCAGTGACAGCTGCTAATTGGAATAAATTAAGCTTCCCTCCCTCTCCCTTTCCTGAACTTTTTGGAGCTGAATAGATGGTGGCTATTGAATCAAGGACCTGGGAAAAGGTGGCACGAGAAGAGTCCAGCATGAGATGGACACAGGCTGAAGATGGATATCCCCTCTCCTTTTGAACATGGCACTAAGCAAGGTTGGGAAGGAGGTATTTAGAGTCATGAAGCCTCCGACTACGGGTCTGCGACCAGGGCTGACAGACTGCACAAGGCAGAGGAAGCCAGATCTCATGCTTCCAAACTCCACAAAATCCAATGCTAGCGTGCTTTTGTGAGAAAAAGGCCAAGTAGCTCAGCTGATTTCTAACTTATAAAGACCAGGTTAGCCTTCCTTCTGGGGCAGTCATTTTCATAGCACATTCAAGTTTGATATGTTACCTCTTCAATATTTGCTACCATGAATTTACAAAGTTTCACAAGGACACCAGAAGAGGAGAGTGTTTCCGTATGGGGCTCTTTTCTGAGCTAGCAAGAGCCAGAGATAAACTGCCTCCCTCACCCACAGACCCACAGGCTAAGCCTCAGTCTTACATTGAAAGGTACTCAATGGAAAGAGTCAAATGTAATGACAAAAGGGTAGAAGACACAGAATTTTGCATATGGATGCTATCAGAAATAAGTCTTTATTGTCACTCTATTTATTTTCGTGCTTCCAGGCCTGGGAAACTTAGGTATATGTGTTTGTGAAGGCGTGCATGTGTGTATGTCTGTGTGTGTGTAAGTATGTGTGTAGTTCATAGTACAGCCTCATTTTACACAGACCAATTAAAGAAACTGTTAGTAACAACACTTTGCATGATTGCCAATTTCCATTTTTGAGAAAGTAGTTATATAAAAGACAGAAGCTAGACCAGCTCTGATAAGACTGTCAAAGATCACATTAGGAATAACAATGTCTACTTGATTAGAAAAAGTATAGAGGTTGGCATTGTGGGTAAATAGAGCTCAAATGACATGTTAAAGATGTAAGTTGTAATTTCACACTACATATAAGATTGATTTCTTCCAGCCTCACTGAAAAATATGTTAGGTTATAGGTTACAAGAAAGGAGTCTACCTCCAAAGAGAAATGGATCATAGAAAGAATGAATCTCTAACCCTAAAATTTAGGCAAGAATGTGCTTTTCTTTTGACACTTGTCAATGACATTGCTACCACTTGACCTAAAATCTAATCAGTTGGGTGCCTCTGAAGTTTCATTTTGATTGAAGGAGTGTGCATTTATTGTTATGTTATTTTTATTATATTATGGTGATGACATATTACGATTATATTGTTACATTTCAAGCTTTTTTATAAAAGCATTTCAATTGTCATACTTCTAGTTAATCTATAAATATCACATCTTCTTGGAAACTTTTTGGCCATTTATTGCATTTTCGAGCCCGGAAGAAGTCTTCCTTATTATGGAGATTACTCCCGTTGCTTAGAGTTGTGGGAAATGTGGCTCCGAAAAACCAAGTATTTGGTGTCCCACAGATAAAGGATGACAACCTGGCACTCGACTGTCGACCTCCACGAAGAGAAGACTCTCCTTTCACTGGGCAGCCATACAGAAGTCGTTTCCCCCACTCAGCTGTCCTTAGCTCCCTTCAACCTTGCAAAGGCCCCTTAACTTGCCTGAAGTGAGCATTCCAACATTAATATGTGTAGAAAAGCCAACAAGGAAAGATATTTGCTCATTTTGTCCCTAGGTTGGGTTTTTCATTTAGCTCTATTTCTATACATTTCACTGTACTAGGCTTTTTTCTCTGTCTTTTTTTTTTTTTTTTTTTTTTT